GTAGTCAAAAAATGCCGCAAAATCCAAAGAAGTTCTTCGCGTACGTGAATAGGGCAAAGCGTAATCGGAACTCCTTTCTAGTCATAAGAATTATCAGAGAAATTAGTTCACCGATAACTCAGATAATAAGGAGCATTTATCCGATTGCTTAATGTCTGTGTATGCCGAGGAAATGTCTTTTGATGAGAAAATAAGCCGGCAGACTGCCCCACCTGGAAATATAATTAATACGGCGACGTTCAAAACGAGCGCAGTGAGGAAAACTCCGAGAAGGCTGCAGTTCACTAAACCACCGGGTCCGGATGGTATATCCGCAAAAGTTCTCTATGGACTCGCAGACCAACAAGCTTCCCCACTCTTAAAGATCTTCGAAAGCTCTATGGAAGCAGGGACTCTGCCTCCGGATTAGAAGCTGGCCAACATCAATCCCATATCTAAACGCTGACGGTGGATACCCGGTTATAAAATTCGCGGGTTAACTAGGGATACCGTGGCTCCCGTATCTATCAACGCCCGTACAGTCTGGTAAGCTACGGTTGCTCTGAATAAAAAGAGGCGACTAATAATGTCGAGCTGGTGCAAGAAGTGATAGAGGTAGTACTCGCTTTCCTTTGACGGGAGCAGACATGGTTCGTGGGGAACAGTGGTTCACCTGGCCAGCGAAAGGGTTCACCTCGACGATTGAATGGCGGGCGAGTTGGGCCTATTAAACGTGTAGTATAATAGGTACCTCGTCCCGCGACCGTAGGATGGGCATGCCGATCGCCTGTGTCTTCTGGTGGAGAGGGACGAGGCTGAGGGGCACAAGCGTAGGTAGCGTTCGGCCCTGTTGACGGCGTCTTGCATATCGTTCGGGGGCAGCAGTAAGAGTGAGTGTGAAAGTTCGGACGAAGGCAGGGCTTCAATAAAATAATGAAGTACTGTATGTTCCTTATCCGCGGATTCCAATGAAGGAAAGGCCACGGGTTTCAGCCGCTTGAGGTCCTCCACCAGCTGATTCAGAGTTTCGTCCCGCTTAAGTCGCCGCTCGTGTAACTGTTCCATCGCGTCGCCAAATGAGTGCGTTTGGTTAAATAAATTAAACAGGCTTTAGCATAGCTCATCAAAAGGTAAATCAACATCTAGACCGGCGACAAGGGCTTTATCTAATTGTTTAGGCGCTAGGGCCTTAAGTAGTGTATGTGGTCTGTCGACCTCTGAGATCTCTCGCAGATAGAACTTTGCGCGTCGGATCCACACAGTACAAGACTTCGTACTGTCGTATTGTGGTATATCGACAGCGCTTGATGTGTATGTCTCGTTTCCGGACATTTGTATGGGCTGTGGGCACGGTCGTTGCGCTGCTACCGCAGTAGTAGACGGGCCACTCACTTGTCCTGTCTCCCTTACTGCAATGTCCTTTGCGGCTTTTGTTCCTTCGTGGATCGACTTCGGCTCAGAACCGTACGTCAACTCTGAATTGCATGGATCGTCAGCGTCACTCATGCATCAATCAACAACCCATGCTAATGCGAAACTCAGTAGGAGAACGGTCTGTACACAAGAAATTTATATAGTGCAATAAGGTTAATGACGACGGGGAGCGTATAGTCTCAATCAAGACGGGGATAATGACGGTCAAAAGGAATTATGGAGCACTTCACTGCTGTGGTTCTGGGGTAGGTGCCATATTCACTGGAGTCGTCTACTCAACTCTGTTTCGGTCATCCTTCTGGTCTGTGAAACAACGAAGAAAAAGGGTCCTCCGAAGCACGGCACCACAAACCGCCGTTTTCGTCTTCTTTTTTAACTTCCCGCCAACTTCGCCCCCGTCTGCCACTACAAGTCTATCTGGCCAGCTGTAAAGGGGCGGTCGTACATTTTCTTCGTGTTTTTCTGGAGGCTCATCATAACTGTCTGGACTAATAACTGGAAAAGATGAATATATGTATGAGGAGTAAGAAACATTCAATAGTAAGTCATAATCAAAGCTGCCAAAATAACATTGAATCATGTAACATATTGATTCTTGTGAATGTGACATTATAGGAGTAGTGGCCGACTGTTTACTATGATCATATATAGTTGTATATATGTTTAATACAACTTTAATATAGACTTACGTGCAACTAGTATGTGCGGTTTTATCGAAAGGGATGTTATTATCAGTTCCTTAAGGGATATTTAGTGCCAGGTTACATAGCCGATAGAAAAGATAAAGGGAGGAAAGAAAGAATATCACTGTTCGTTCTATGTTTGTCAATAATGCTATCTTTCATAAATGTGATTGTTTTTAGTGCTATGTGCCGGTGTTATAGAAGCGTTTGGTATATATCAAATAATTGACTTCAAAAATGTCATATTTTATTCAAAAATAAATGTGTATTTTTATTTGTACGGAATTTCTTAGTTTTTATTTTAAACTCGATTAGGGTTAGACTTTTCTGGATAGAACTTGGAAGACCATTCAAGATAGTGGCATATATTATTGTGTAGAATTTCGGCCATTGGGACTATGTGAATTTGGGTACCCTTATAATATCTTCGTAAATTTACACAGTATATTTCGATTTCACCAAGGCTTTTGATCGCGTTGACCATGCTCTTCTTCTCTTGAAACTGTCCTCTTTCGGAATAGGTGGTAAACGTTTACATTTTATATCCTCTTACCTGGGCACTCGTACACAATGAGTTAAGATTTTCAATGATATCCCCAATCCCACATGTGTGAGTGGTGGAGTCATTCAGCGTAGTGTACCCAGCCCGCTTTTATTTTGCCTTTTCGTTAATGATGCACCCGATTTATTTCATAATGGTAAGCCTTTCATGTATGCCAATGATCTTAAGGTTGCATATCGATATAAGCCGGCAGATCATGACACCGTGCTTCAGCTCCTAAAGAGCGATCTACAGGCTTTCGCCCAGTGGTGCCGCATATGGCGTCCTTCTCTTTCTTGGCATAAGTGCTCAGTCATGGTGGTTGGCAACGACCGCCAACATCAACTAAGTATTGAAAATCACGCCATAAATGTGCCTGGGGTTATTAAGTATCTGGGCGTATCATACTCCAAGTGTCTGAGTCTCTCGGAGCACTGTGCATTGATAGTCTCCAAAGCACGTAGAACGACCGGGTTTATCCTCCGAAATTTTAAAACTA